AGGAAATAAATCCCCTTGAATATGTATACCTCCTCACTGTGTCTTTGTACCTAGTATCATTGAAATCAGTCAAGGCATCTCTGAGAAATATCAATGGACAAACAAAAGCCATGATTAACAATCAAAATGGCTGCCAGTCGGCCATATTTGATCATTTCAAAACAACGTGCATCTGTATGGGTGGTCCCCTTGTCTTTGTAACAAGTCTCAACAAAATCGGTCAAGCCATCTCTGAGAAATGACAATGGACACACAAAAACCAAATTTGACTGAATTTTGGCATTAAAAATGGCCACCAGTCGGCCATATTTGATCAAATTGGAAAATAAATTGGCGTGCCTATGTATGGTTGACCACTATGTGTTTGGACCAAGTTTCAAAAAAATCGGTCCAGCCAACTTCGAGAAATCACGGACGGACTAACAGAGTCGAAACTACAAGCCCCTTCCCAGACTTTGTCCGGTTGGGGACTAAAAAACACTGTAGACATCTTTAGATTTGGAAAGAATCACAAAGTCAACAGCATAAAGAAGAGAGTTTTGACATGAGAGTTCATTAACATTTCAAGGATCAATATTTCTCAGAGCTAAAAATATTTGGGAGGTCATTAACAAAAAGGCTAAGACTGAGGTTACAACCTGGTTTGACGCCTGTCGTTGCACGAGAAATTTTAGTTTTAAGTTTTGACTTATAGTGCACAGTACCAACAATTTTATACATGTTATAAGATGTAGACAATCATTCCATATACTGTTGAGTGTTTTTTGTGTGTGCACTACTGTGATAAAGATAGTTTTACCACAATTACTAAAAAAGATGGTTAGGAAACGCTATTGTTAAAAGGTGTGAATCTGCCTAATCCCTCAAGGATGCATGTCGCACTGTGTACACCCTTCTATTGCTTGAGATTTCAAGCCCCACTATTTTGTTTCTTTCTTGTGTCGATCACTTGATGTCTCGCGAATTTGAAATTTTTAGTTCATGTTCAGTGAACAAGCTCTATGAAGAACTATACGTACATTTCGAATGAGTACTTTTTGTGACTGTGATAACATTTAGAATCGAGAATCGTTATTTATCGTTTTCACTGTTGTCATGAAAGTAAGCTTGGGTCCCGGAAGAAAAAGTGATGAAAATTCTAGCCTCTAAGTCATTATTTTAAGTCATTATACATTATATTATAAAAAATACTATCAAATTAATTTTTAGTATACTACTGTGTGTACTTATGACGATTGTATGCGATTCGGGGGCTTATTTGAGTAAATTTTATCATTGTTCTTTCGTGTCACTGTATCAGCCATTTTGTTTAAAGTCTTTACACTTTTTTGTAGAAATCATTGAAAATGTATTCAACATTTTCCGTCAGTTTCCTAAAATGTCTGTTTATTTGTTCTTTCAGTTTTTTGACAATTTTTTCATGTTGCAATACTCAGCGTGCCGTTAAATACGGTTTTAGACACTGTAACTATTTTTGAACACAATAAATCAATTTTTCGAACGCTTTTTAACTGTTCTTAATTTCATTGGAATTGCCTGTTGATGTTTGGTGTGCTAACAAGCATTTTGTAGAGCATGGGTGGGTCGTTATTCTATTGCATATTTTGTTTATTTCCAACGAAATGTTGTGGTATCATGGCTTCTCATTAAAACTTTCGCATGGCTGAATTATTAACATTTGTATGGTTTCTTTGACATCTTTTTTTCTGATCATGTGTTGTTGGTTTTTTTCATTTCAGTTTTCTGCTGATCTTGTTTTTTAGAAACGAAAATGCCATACAAAGGCAAATTTGTATTGAGTTTAAACTGAGCGAGAGGTTTTGAAGGATTCACTGGAACAACTTACACTTTAGTAACTTAACGCATCGACACAGATAAACAATAAAACGGCGTGCAGTTGTTAATTGCAATGAACTCTGGGAAAAAATTACATCATATTTGCGTGATTTCCTGTCTACATTTGATGTTAATGATTAGCCTATCTTTATCACAGATTAGTACGTCTTTTGTTTCAAATGTTTATCCGCGACACGCATCCAATGAAAAGAACATGGTTTGTTTCCTAACCGTCTTTTATAGTAACCGCGGTTTTACGAATAAACATGTTATCAGTTGTTACCAGAGGTACATTACTTGGGGTTTGCAACTACGATGACATGATACCAAGATCCCATTTCAATCTTGCTCTCGCATAAGCATTCTAACTCAGAAAAATGCAAATGCACATGCCCGAGGTAACTCTGGATACTGGGATGTCCAGGTGGATCAAAATAGCTGCTCACGATATGACGGATTACGATAACTATATTTTCTGTAAATTTTCAATGTATTACATTTTTTTACTATGAATGTGGTAATACATGTTTTATTGATTATGACAAACCGTCCATTTCATGTCAGAAGGTCGTAGCATCAGTCTCGCTATCTAGAGATGAGACTTAAATGGGATCTTGACGTGATGTCACCATACAGTACTATGGGCGTTGCAAACCCCAAGTAATGTACCAGTACCTCTGGTTGTTACCGCAACTGTTGTTGAGATAGAAATTACATTCTTCAAAGTAAGTGATTATAGTTGCGTGTTCAAGATACTAGAAATAGCAGCTGCCAATTGCAACCTCTGTAAATAAAGGGGTTTGTTTTGAACTCAAATTTATGAAATTATGTTTATGAGTTCCAAATAAAAAATATTGGCAGCGCACAAAAATTTTGAAGGACACTAAAACCATGACCATATCACAAACTTGTCTAACACTGTCTAAATATGTTTAAAAATTGTGTTTGTCTCAAAATTGTTCATGATCAGTGAGATCTTCGCACGTCACCCTAGTTGAATGCCCTTATCTGTATCTACCTTTGAATGAATACAATACGAGTATATACAAATGTACTAATTTGCATGTCAGTCATCATGTTAGTGAGTCGACGACTCCCTAACAAGTAACATAATAATAAATGTATTTCATCTGTAATGATTAACTAAATATTTTAGAAATCATATTTACAGACTTGTAAATTTAATAATAAAATCACAGCTGAATTATATGATGTAACACAATAAAGGGTGTTTGAAGTTCGACTCGTAACCGAACAACACGATCCGAATTTTGTCACGTAACTACAATAATAAATTCATCTCTAGATTTAGACTACTTAGACGTTCAGTTTGTATACGGGATCCAAAATAACTCTCACCTTGTTTGGTTTATTTGTTGCTATGATATAACAACTGGAGAACAATGACACAAAGTCACTTTTTTCTGCATGTCTTGTTTTTGCCACAATCGTCAGAACCGCTCTCACAGGTTCACCGGTGTTTACCGCAAAGCGTTGTGGGAAAGCTTGATCGAATCAAAGATGGCTGCCTCCACATCCGACGGTGAGTCAATCATTGCGAGAATATTTTCAACCAATATCGAGATTTTGTGCATTTATATTTTACTTGAATGTCGTAAAAAAAAGTCAGTGACGTCTGGAAAAAGTTTTAACTGCGAAATAATGCATATACATTTCGATTCAGCCTGGAGAGCCATGTCACGAGTGCATACTGTCACCGATAAACGTGTATAATAGCCATTGAAACGCCCGGAAGTAAGGAACCGTAATCGAAAGCGCCAACTGTTTATATTAGTACGTTTTGTAACGTGTTGAAATTGCTGCTAGTATGTAAAACATAATCCGTTGTTGGTAGCATGTCTGTAGTTATTAAAAACAAAGCCAGATAAAGAAAAATCGATATTCCTTGCATTTCACAGGTCATTCGCGTGACTGAAAGTTTTTTTAGAAAGACTTTTCAATGTACAAATCCAAACTCTAATCCTCCTGCACACAATTCAAATGCATATGCCCCTCAAGATTGTATATGCAATCATGGACGTACTAGCAATGTACGTCCATGATACAATATAGGTGCGTGGTCCCTAGCCCTGAGTACAGTCCTGTAGGTTGGCCTCCTTCCGCTG